CTATGTGTTATACAATCCAGTGCAGTGCTTCGTACATTAACTTTTTATGTGCCGTGTGCTAATGAGGAATTAAATGTTTCTACAGTGAAAGAGTTCGAACTGATGAGACGTTCACATGATCATTAAATGAACCTTTCACCATCTGTGGTCCGTTGACTGTAGCTTGACTGTCCACCAACCTGCAGGGCGTCCAGTTAAATATGGAGGAGGAAGGATCCAGCTGAGCCTTCCATCTCTGAGTGTGTCATTGTATTCATCATGTGCTCTGATCAATACATCTGTCCCTCCACACTGCATGGGCCTTTGGGGGCCGACAGCCGGCAAGCTTCTTCATCTTGTCTTGATCAATATTTAATGTGACAAAACAGTAAATGTCTCAGTGAGACTTTACAACCTGAGACGGTAGCAGGGCCGTAGCAGAAAGCCCTCCAACCATAACATCAACCAAATCTGAACAAAGAACCAAAAAAATCTACAGTAACTTTAGCATATTTATTGAAGCTATGCAAGGTTTTACTGTGGAGTAGCAAGAGTGCCAAATTACAAAAATAAATCAATAAAAGAATAATAAAATAAAAGTGGAAATAAAAAGAAGAATAAATAACAAAAAAATAATGTGACAATATAAAGCAATATTAATCATAAATGAATCCATAAAAGAAAAAGCAAATAAAAGTAGAAGTCTCCAAGTCTTATCAGACCAAAGAACCTTCTTCCAGGTGACTTCAGCGTCTGTCTTCTGGTGAACTCCAGTCCACATTTAATAGGAGTTTTTCTTTGGTCGGCTGTGGCTCAGGTGGTAGAGCGAGTCGGTCAATGATCGGAAGGTCGGCGGTTCGATTCCTGTAACCTGTTTCATGGTCGTTGTGTCCGTAGGCAAGACACTTCACCCACCTTGCCTGGTGTGAATGCGTATGAATGGATTGCTTGAGGTGGTGGTCGGAGGGGCAGAATGGCAGCCACGCCTCTGTCAGTCTGCCCCAGGGCAGCTGTGGCTACAATCGTAGCTACCACCACCAGAATGAATGTGTGTGAATGAATAATTGACAGTGTAAAGCGTCTTTGAGTGTCTAGAAAAGTGCTATATAAATCTGATCAATTATTATTATTATTTTAAAAACAGTCTTTCTCTTCGTCTCCCATAAAGCTTTGACTGGTGAAGAACAGACAACAGTTGCTGTATGAACAGTCTCTTCATCTGAGCTGCTGAAGCTGGAAACTCCTTCAGAGGAGTCATAGAAGTCTTGGTGGCCTCCCTTTCTCATCTCTTTCTGCTTCCTCTCTTCCTCCTCAGATTCCTCTTCTTCTTCTTGATTTTTCTGTTCCTCTCTAATCCTCCTCTTCGACATCATCTTCCTCCTCCTCCTCCTCCTCTTCGTTCTCCTTTTCCCCATCTTCATCTCCCTCTGCCTCCTTTACTAATCCTACTCTTCCTCTCCCTCCCCCTCCTCCTCTTCCTCCTCCTCCTCCTCTTCTTCCTGCTCCTCCCCCTCCTCCTCTTCTTCTTCCTCCTCCTCCTCCCCCCCTTCTCCTCCTCTTCTTCCTCCTCCACCTTCTCTTCCTCCTCCTCCTCCTCTTCCTCCTCCTCTTCCTCCTCCTCCTGTACAGATTTGGCTTAATCTTTATCCTCCACAATAGAAATCTAATTAAAACTTGCTGGACCTCATTATGA